TTGATTTTAGAAGAATGGTTCGACATTGTGATTTCACGGAATTGAGATCGATTGGTAATAAATTCTCTTGGGCTGGACAAAGAGGTGACCATTATGTGCAATGTTGCCTTGATAAAACAATGGCGAATACTCAATGGCATCTTCTTTTCCCAGATTCTGAAACTCATTTTTTAGAAATGGGAGAATCCGATCATCGTCCTATGCTCAGTTTTCTGGGTGACAAACCTCAAGAAAGAAGGGGCCGCTTTATGTTTGATGACAGAATTATTGCAGAGGAGGGTTTTTCACAAACGGTTACTCATGGCTGGAATAATACATCAGCTCAGATTTCTCTATCGGACCGTATTATCAAATGCCGTCAGCATATTTCCCGATGGAAACAGAGGAATAGAACCAATGCAAAGGAAAAAATAAATCTTCTCAGATACAGACTGGCAAAGCGATCTCCTCAATGTCTGCAACACAAACAAAACGAGAGTCTCTCAGAGCTCAACTGAATCAAGCCTATATAGATGAAGAGCTATACTGGAAAAGAAAGAGCCGTAACAAATGGCTCAAGGTTGGAGATAGAAATACAAGATTTTACCATGCTGTTACAAAAACAAGACATGTCAAGAATCGACTATTATCTATTCAAGATAAGGCTGGTATAATTCAAAGAGGGGATGATAACATTGGGAAAGCTGCAGAAGAGTATTTTACAGAGTTATTTACATCTCAGGGAGTGTCAACAGAAGAGTTAAATGAGGTGTTTACCAACTTCGAACCAAAAGTTACAGCAGCAATGAATACAGATTTGACACGAGAGATATCCATGGATGAAATAAGAAATGCAGTTTTCTCCATTGGAGCACATAAAACACCAGGCCCTGATGGTTTTTCTACATCTTTCTATCAAAATTACTGGTCAGAAATCTCTCCAGCTATACTTCAGGAGGTGAAACAATTTTTTGAGGAAGGATCACTGGATGCAAATCTCAACCACACAAACATTTGTCTCATTTCCAAGATCACTCCCCCAGTGTCAATGATGGATTTCCGACCTATAGCTCTATGCAACGTTAGCTATAAGATCATATCCAAGATATTGGTGAATCGTCTAAAGCAACATCTATCAGAATTAGTATCTGAGAACCAAGCAGCTTTCATACCTGGTCGTATGATCACTGATAATGTGATTATAGCTCATGAGATCTACCATACTTTGAAGGTCAGGAAAAGACAATCCAAATCTTATATGGCTCTCAAAACAGATATGACAAAAGCTTATGATCGGCTAGAATGGATTTTTTTAGAAGAGACAATGAGAAGATTGGGATTTGATCAACGATGGATTCAGTGGATCATGATGTGTGTTCAGTCAGTTAGCTTCTCAGTGCAAATTAATGGATCAACAAAGGGATTTATACAACCTTAGAGGGGATTAAGACAAGGAGATCCCCTATCTCCTTATCTGTTTATCTTATGTGCAGAAGTACTATCTCACATGATGACACAAGCTTCAATAAATAGGAAGATTCAAGGCATCAAAATCAGTGATAGAGGACCATCAGTCAACCATCTACTCTTTGCAGATGACTCTCTATTCTTCTCTCTTGCAAATCCAAAATCAGGCAGAGCTATCAAAAGAGTTTTGGGCTTGTATGAAAAGGTATCAGGCCAAGCTGTTAATTTAAGGAAGTCTGCAATTACATTTGGAAGCCGGGTACAAGAAAGAACAAAGACACAGATGCGAAGACTGCTTGGTATTCACAATGATGGTGGTGGAGGAAAGTATTTGGGAGTTCCAGAACAATTTGACAAGAAAAAATCAGAAATGTTTCAATATCTTCTCGACAAAGTCAATGAAAGGACACAAGGTTGGAATAAAAGTTTTCTATCTCAAGGAGGGAAAGAAGTTCTTCTAAAGTCAGTTGCAACATCTATGCCGGTATATGCTATGAATGTCTTTAAACTCCCAAAGGGACTCTGTGAAGATATTAATCGAATACTTGCAAGATTCTGGCGGGGAAAAGGAGATGATATCCGTGGAATGCATTGGTTCAATTGGAGACGTATGAGTTTACCAAAGAAGGAGGGAGGAATGGGTTTTAGGGATATATAAAATTTCAACCTGGCTTTGTTAGGTAAACAAGCTTGGAGAATATTACAAAACCCTCACTGTCTAATGGCTAAAATGATTAAGAGCAGATACTTTCACGATACAAACATACTCATTGCAGAGGAAAGTCGCAAAAGTTCTTATATCTGGAAATCTATACTCCAAGGAAGAGATCTCTTGAAGAAGGGAATGCGTTTCATCATTGGTGATGGTGCTGTTATTAGCTTTTGGTGTGATCCGTGGCTTCCACTAGATCCTCCTCGACCACCACAGCCAAAAGACCCGAACGTCACTCACTGTTTGGTAAAAGATATGTTCTTAGCTTCCACAGGATGGGATGAGGAAAAGATCAGAAACTTGGTAGTTGAAGAAGATGCAAATACAATCCTATCACTGAGAGTCAATTCACGAGCTGAAAAGGATTTATTGGGGTGGCACTACAATTACTCTGGAATCTACACAGTTAAAATCAGGTTATTGGTTAGCATCACATCAACATCAACAGCGCCCTATTTCTCCTCCTGGTGATGTCTACCTAAAGCAACAAATCTGGAAACTAAATACTGCTCCAAAAATAAGGCATTTTCTCTGGAGGGTAGTTTCAAATGCTATTCCGATTGGTGACAATCTAAAGGCACGACACATCACAAGACAATCACTTTGTCCAAGATGTCAACAAGCAGAGGAGTCAGCAAACCATCTATTTTTTTAATGTAATTATGCTCAACGAATATGGAGAGCCTCAGGATTCCCTAACAGAAACATATTTGGTGTGGGAGTCACACTTTTGAAGATAAAATGAAGATCATCATTAATCGGAGAGACCTGATGCCTCACAAAGTACATCAATTTGCCATATGATTCTTTGGAGAATATGGAAAAGCCGCAACACTCTTTTATTTCAACAAAAACAGATTCCATGGAAAACAACTATGAAGCTTGCTGAAGGTGATGCCAAGGAATGGTTAGACGTCCATTAGTTAATCGACAAATACAATAACCAAGTTCCAAGAAACACTACGACTAAGCATACCCGCTATCATTGTTGGAAAAAACCGCAACCAGGCTGGCTTAAATGCAATTATGATGGCTCCTATGTCAAAGATGCTCATTGTGCAAAAGCAGGATGGATAATAAGAGATGAAGAAGGAAAGTTTATAGGGGCAGGACAGGCAAAAAGCAACAAGGCACATTTTCCTTTGGAAAGTGAAGCGCAAGCTCTCATCATGGCAATTCAGAACTGTTGGTCTATGGGATATCGAAAAGTAATTTTTGAAGGAGATTGCAAGAATTTAGTCAATTTAGTCAATAAGACTACCCTCAATTTTGGCTTCCACAACTTGATCAAAGAAATATGGGAATGGAAGAGAAAACTGCAAAGCACAGAGTTCACATGGACACGAGAAAACAATCAAGCTGCAAATACATTAAGGAAATCTCTTATTCCAAATAGTTCGACATATATATCTCATTTCTATGTCCCTTCTAATTTAACAGATGTATTACACTCTGACTATTTAAGTTCTATATAAATAAGCATAGACGTTAAAAAAAAAAAGAAGCAACAAAGACAAAATAAGTCAATTATTAAATTAAATCAATTTTCTAAAAAAGTTTAGCAAAAATATAAGCTAGATGCTTAAAAAATGAGTTGATTACACTTCATATCACTTTTACACCATATCATTTTCTTATACTTTTACTATTTTTTTTTAATCTGAAAAGACAAAATAACGTTTTTGTTACTTAAGTAAACCAATAATTAATTTTTCCGAAATTGTAAAAAGGTAAAGCAAAAGAAAAATAAAAAGTCTCTCTTACCTTTGTTTTCCTCTCTCTTCTCAACATCAAAAGCATCATTTTTTTAACAGCCCATTTTTCTTTCTTCTTTTTTCTTCTTTCTCTCTTAAATTAATATATAATTTTTTAGAATTAAATTTAATTACAAAAATTTTGAATAGTTTTGAACTTTAAATTAAATGTAACCTATATTTAAAGAAATCTTTAGTTATCTAAATTAATATCTAATTTTCGAATTAAATATAAATATAAAATAAAATGCATTTTTAATTAAAATTATACCAAACTGGATTAATATTAAAACTGTTATTAGAATAAAATTTTAAAAATACTTTAGAACTGTTTGGATACAGACATTAAAAGTGTTTCTGTTTTAATGGTATAATTACAAAATTTACAATTAACATTACATCGATATAAACTTAACTAACTCATATTCTTATTTTACTAATGGGATATACAAATCTATGCTATTAAATCTTGATAACAAAATTCTTGATTTTAGAAAAAATAAATCAACAAAAAAGTTATATCTAAACACAAAAATAATTATATTACAAAATTTAATAAGAAAAAAAAAACAAAAAAATCTCGTTCGGGAACATAGGGTTAGAATCTAGTTGTTCATTAATTCTTGTTGTGATCCATTATCTGTGCTTTGTGGATGTTAGAATGAGTCACACTTATAATATTTTTCAATATTTTAGGGAAGTAATTAGAAGATGGAAATTAATATCTTAGTCTTCATGAAAAAGATCAATATATAAGGATTTTGTGAAGCTTTGGTTTATTTAAATCTTCAAAGAAAGCTTTGGTTTTAGATTAATTTTTCCAGGTTCGGTTCAGAGTCAGATTCAGTTATTCGAATATAGAAAATTAAATTTATTAAGATATGGTTTATTTTTTAATTGATTTTTTTTTTGTCGCTATTTTTTAATTGATTAAATCCGTTCGATTTAAATCGGATCGATTTATCCAAATTCACCACTAAATGATTAAAGTTAGAGCCCAAAGCGGGAAAGAGAAAACGGCCCATACTCGAGTCCAGACCCGGATCCGAACTCGAACCCAAACTCGACCCAAGATCACTTGCCGCCTCATTGAATCTCTTTGTTGGCCAAGTTCCTGAATTCTCTCATCTGCAACCATGACTGCATCGGCGATGGATCCTCCTCCGCCGCGAAACCCTACCCGTGTTTCAGATCCTGTTCCGGATGCTACATCGATTTTGGACAGCGATGAATCGTCCGCTCCAACGGAAGTCTCGTCGATGAACCCTCCGCCTCCCAGAAACCCTAACCTACCTGATCTCGAGTCAAAGGAAGTAGTAAAACCGGAGCTAATCGAAGAAGCTAAGGACGATTCCGTCGCTATAGACGCGAAAAATCCACCCCGTGCCCGAGCCGTGAAGCAGAATCCCGTCCCGTACACGATTCCAGAGTGGAGTGGACCTCCGTGCCACAAATTTCAGCTTGAAGTCCTCAAGGAAGGCGCCATTGTCGAAAAATTAGAAGTGTAAGCTCTTTTGAATCCGTCTTCTTATAAGATATAGCTATTTGATTGCCTTTTGTAGATTCTTTGGTTCTTGTGAATCTATTGTATATGAAAATCGTATGTTTTTTTTTTCTTCTTCTCTCTGCAGGTATGAGAAAGGAGCTTACTTGTTTGGACGTGACAGTATTTGCGACTTTTCCCTTGAGCATCCTTCGATTTCTCGGTTTCATGCAGGTTAATACCTTACTTCTTATATTAGAGTGTTAATGGTATCAGTTTGGATTACGTCGGTTTAATCCTGTTTTGTAATGATTTGCCAGTTATTCAGTACAAGAGAAGTGGAGCTGCATATCTATTCGATCTTGGAAGCACTCATGGAACGTTAATTAACAAGAATAAGGTGTTTTATTTTTGGCCTTAATGTGTTCAGCTTCTTGATCGAGGTTGATTAACAATGTGTTGTTCTAACAATGTGATGTGATTATTGCAGGTGGACAAAAGACTTTATGTTGATTTGCATGTTGGTGATGTTATTCGCTTTGGCGGGTTAGTCAATATTTCTGTTAAGCTCATGATGATTACCTTGCCACTGTTTGCTTTGAAATTCTAGAGCTTATTCTTTATTTCTTATGCAGTTCGACTCGGCTGTACATTTTCCAAGGACCCTCGGAGTTAATGCCACCTGTAAGATAAACATTTCACTTTACACAGTTTAGCTTCTTGGTCTTAAATACTTGGTATTTGTATTTCGTATTTTTTCGTACCAATGCTGCTATTAGAGAAAAATCACTAAAGGATATCTTTTACTTTTGTCATCTGTTGACTCTATAATCATCTAACGTTTAGTTTGATGTGCCCGCTAATTTACTTTTTTGGTTTTCAGGAGAAAGACTGGCAATTAATAAGAGAAGCAAAGCAGAGACTGGCGATGTCAGAACGAGAAGCTTCACTTCGGCGAGCAAGACAGCAAGCTTCAATGGCTGATGGTGTTTCGTGGGGCATGGGGGAAGATGCTATTGAAGAAGAAGAGGTAACCATGACTATTGTATTTGTTAGTGTTGCAGAGTTAAGTGTATCAGATTTCCAAGATTTGTGGAATTTATTTTTCTGATTTACGTTGTCTCTTCTATTGTTTGGACATGAAGGATGATGTTGAAGAAATCACTTGGCAAACTTATACGGGAGAGCTCACACCAAAGCAAGAAAAAACTAAAGAGAAAGTATTGAAACGGTTGGAGAAGGTAAGCTTCTTATTGACTAAGTCTCTATATTTGTCTTTTTCAATCTGCTTGTTTCATCCTTTAGGATCTAGACTGATTTAACTTTACTTCTTTCATAACTATAGTTATAGACATTAAATTCAATTCATAGACTCCTCCTACGTTGCTTCATCCTTGCACGCATTTTTGCTTATGTGTAGATTGGCCATATGAAGAAGGAAATAGCTGCTATTCGAGCTAAAGACATTTCTCAGGGTGGATTGACACAAGGACAACAAACGCAGATCGCCAGGAATGAGCAGAGAACAGCCGAGGTAACCTTTATGTTGATCTGAAGTGGTAACAGAATTCTTTGTTTGGCATCTAGTCTCTTTCAAGCATGGCTGGTACATATATCTGAGTAGAGTTTCCGTTTATGATAGCTTCTGGAAGAGCTTGAGAGCTTGGAGGAAACATTGAATGACAGCATCCGAGAAAGTTTGGGTGCGAAAACAGGGAGAAAACCCAATGGTAAGAAGAAAGGACCTGCGGAAGAGGAGGAAGACTTCTCAAGGTACTTAAAGTGTTCAAGCCCTATTTTGCATTTTTCATGTAAAAAGTATAGCTTGTGTCTGTTGTGTTCTGATTCTCATAGGGAATGTTATCTTTTTTCTTTCAGCGATGAAGATGACTTCTATGATCGGACCAAGAAGAAACCATCAACAAAGAAAGGCAGCGAAAGCCAAACTGTAGAAACTGTAGATTCTCTTCTAGAAAAGAGAGACAAGGTCTTGAAAGAAATAGAAGAAAAGAATAAACAGCTTTCAGCAGAGAAGAATAAGATGGAGACAGAGACTGTCGCAGAGAATGCATCGGGAGACGCCCTTGACGCATACATGACTGGGCTTTCTACTACACTTGGTAATACTACGGTTCCAATTTTTTCAAATTTACCAAACTCACTTCAAGGAAAACGTTGTTGATTGATCTAATGAGTTTTTCCTTTTATTGACGTCAGTGCAAGATAAAACTGCCCAGATCCAGCAAGAATTGTCTGCTCTTCAGTCAGAATTTGATAGGATATTGTACCTTCTAAAGATTGCTGACCCAACCGGACAAGAGGTTAAGAAAAGGGAGTTCAAATCACAGGAAGCAAATATGAAGAAATCTGAAATACCTCCTGTAGAAATGAAGAACAGTCCACCTTTGAAACCAGCTGGTCCTGATGAGCATAGGGAGAAGGAGGTGGGGAAAAATGAAGTGGACTCGGACAGTAAGCCTGAAGTTGAAAAGAAAGCAAGTGAAACAGCTGAAGAGAAAAAGACCACTGTGTTTGTTCCATCAAAACCCCAATGGCTTGGTTCCGCTGCAAATAAAGACACGGTCGAAGAGAAGAAACCTATTATTGTAGCTGCTGCGACTGACAGCACAGATGATGCCGATGAGTTTGTTGATTATAAAGATAGGAAGAAGATGATTGAAGGTGCAACAGGATTGATTATAAGAAAACGGAAGCAAGAAGTCAAGAGCAAAGAAGAAGATGATGAGTCAAAGGAAAAGCAAGCAGAAGCCATGGCACAAGACGCAGTTGCTCTCTTATTGAAACATTCTGTTGGACATCATAGAAATGAAGAAGAGGAAGAAATTAGTAAAAAGGAAGAAAGTAAGCAAGGAAGTGGGCATAGTAGAAAGAAGAAGAAGGCTAAGAAAGTCATTGGTCCTGATAAACCAGAATTTCTAGATGAAAGCACAGATTATGATTCATCATGGGTACCTCCTGAAGGTAAAGTAAAGAAACGTTTAGAATATAAACTATGCATTTTGAATCAAGATAAGTAATTATGTCTAACTTGAAATGTGCAGGACAATCTGGCGATGGACGAACGTCTCTGAATGACCGTTTGGGATATTGATCGGTGAGTGAGTCCCCAAAAGTAAACCATGTGATCGAGGGAAGGTCGAAGTGGCTTAAACATCTGGCAAGTTTGCACCATTCTTCTTGGCCAGTGTTTCGTATTGTGAATTCCTACCCTAAACCGCAAAGCTTCACCGAGTAAAATTTACAAGAAACAACGCAAGCTTCATTCAAATTCCGAGCCCTCTCTTCTCGACAAAGACACATTCAATTTCAGAGCACACAGATTCATGAATATGATATCACCTGTTAGTGCCATTCTAGTTCTCTTCTTACGCTTGCCTTTTGAAATGTGTTGACTAATTTCAAGTTAAATGTTGATATTAGGAGGCTTTTATAAGTTGACACTGCAAAATAGTTAAAAGAGAGTGAGAATTGAGTTAACACCTATATGAGCTACTTTCTTTTACAATTTTAGAGTATTTTTCATCTTTTTTTCGTCGGCATTGCAATTTAGAGTTAATTTTCGGCAATTATATGATATACTTCTGAATGTCTCATAAACCTATTTTATATTAGGTTGGGTCCCTGAAAAGCAATGCTTACGTCTCTTTAAAAGTCAAAACCCAAAAGCAAATAAGCCTTCATCATTTTTTCCATTCACAGAGCTATATGCAAACACATTTGCAATCTTTAAACTTCTCCCATGGCTTCTTCACGAACTTGGAGATACCGCGTCTTCCCAAGCTTCCACGGACCAGACATCCGTAAGACTTTTCTTACTCATTTACGCAAGCAGTTTAACTCGAACGGGATTACGATGTTCGATGATCAAGGAATCGAGAGAAGCAAATTCATAGCATCGGAACTCATACGAGCGATTATAGAATCGAGGATCTCAATCGTAATTCTCTCAAAGAACTATGGTTCTTCGAGCTGGTGCTTGAATGAATTGGTGGAGATATTGGAATGCAAGAACATAGTGATGCCAATCTTCTTCCAAGTTGTCCATCCGATGTACGGAAACAGACTGGAGATTTTGGAATCGCTTTCAAAAGAAGTTGTGCAGGTAAAACGAAGGAAGAGGAGCAGAGATGGAGCCAAGCTTTAACCGATGTGGCAAACATAGCTGGATTACACTTGCTAAACTGGTTCGTTTGTTTTCAGTAATTTAATTTGGGGATTCTGCATCAATTTTGTCTCACAATCTGATTCTCTTTGTTAGGGAAAATGAAGCAGATATGATTGAGAAGATAGCCAAAGATATTTCAGATAAACTAAATGCTACACCCTCTAGGGATTTTGATGGAATGGTGGGACTTGAAGTTCACATTAGGGAGTTGAGTTCTTTGCTAAACCTAGACTGTGATCAAGTGATGATGGTAGGTATATGTGGCCCTGCAGGAATTGGTAAGACTACCATTGCCAGAGCTTTAGAACGCCGACTCTCTAGCAATTTTCAGCGTAGTTGTTTTATGGAGAACATTAGGGGAAGTCTAAATCTTGGGTTTGACGAGTATGGTCTGAAGTTGCATTTACAAGAAAGACTCCTTTCAAAGATTCTGAACCAAAAGAGTATGGGGGTATATCATTTAGGCGCGATAAAGGATTGGTTATACGACCAAAAAGTTCCTCATTCTCGATGATGTGAATGATCTCGAACAATTGTATGCTTTGGCTAATGAGACTACGTGGTTTGGTTCTGAAAGTAGGATTATCGTGACAACAGAAGATAAAGAGCTTTTGGAGCAACATGGTATCAACAATATCTACCATGTTGATTTTCCATCTAGAGACAAAGCTCTTACGATCTTTTGTAGATATGCATTTAGACAAAACTCCCCACCTGATGGGCTTATAGAGCTTGCAGAAAGTGTAACAGAGCTTTGTGGTAATCTTCCTCTGGGTCTCCGCATCATAGGTTCATCTTTACGTGGGAAGAATAAGGAGGAGTGGGAAACTGTAAGAGCAAACTCTGTTTAGAGTCGGGTATGAGTGAGAAACTAGTCTTAGAGTGAGAAACTAGATTCTCCACAGTGAGAAACGTGAGTGAGAAACTAGTCTTGATCGAAACATCGAGGGCGTACTTAGAGTTGGGTATGATAGCTCACATGAGAAAGAACAAACTCTGTTTCTCCACATTGCAGTCTTCTTCAACTATAAAGACCCTCATCTTGTGATGGCCATGCTCGCTGACAGTAACTTGGATGTCCTTGAAAGATGTCCTTGAAAGTGATACAGTAAGCCCTACATGATCTAAGCCAAATCATATGGTGAAGCTTAAAAGATCTTACATATTATTGTGCTAAACAATTTCTTACATTCGGAATGTTTTTCAGGGTTCTAGAATCGTGTCAGGGATATCATTTGATATATCCAGAATCGGCGAACTGTCTTTAAGCGAGAGAGCTTTTAAGAGAATGCGTCATCTCCAATTCCTCAGTGTTTTTAAGTTAGGATATGATGGAAAAGACAGAGTGCACTTACCGGAGAACATGGAGTTTCCACCTCGTCTAAGGTTACTACAGTGGAAAGGATATCCAAGGAGAAGTCTTTGTCCTACATTTCATCTGGAATATCTTGTCGAACTTGATATGGAGCGTAGCCTGCTCGAGAAGTTATGGGAAGGAACTCAGGTTAGTTATCATAACTATCTACGATATTTGATATAAAACAAGAAGGGTAATAGAATTCTTGTTGAGAACCCTACTTTAGTTATTTCGTACATATTTTCTCTGTTCTGATGTTCATCCTCTACCCTCTGGTTTACATTCAGCCGCTTACGAATCTGAAGAAGATGTCTTTGTTATGTTCATGGTATTTGAAGGAGTTTCCGGATCTTTCAAATGCTACAAAACTTGAAAGATTGAATCTGAGTGCTTGCGAGAATTTGGTAGAGCTTCCGTCCTCTTTTGGTAATCTGCATAAACTAAAAAAAAGATGATGATATAAAAAGATAGATTTAAAAATTTGTGGTAATGAAGAGTGTCGGATTAGAATTATGTTTTATAATTATAGTCATAAATATACTTAAAAATAAATCTAAAAAATGAATTATATCTAAATACACAAATAAATTGTTGTTACTTATTAGAAAAATTATATCTATAAAATAAAATAAAATAAAACTATAATATATAAATTCATTAATAAAAAAGAAATTCCTGTGTAGATGCACGAGATAAAATCTAATTTAAATTAAAATACAAACAATCTATATACGTATAAGTGTTAAAATAGGTTACATGTCCATTTAATTGTCTCATATTATCTTAATATCTTACATGTTTTGACAAACTAACCCGCATAGGACTATCATAAAACATCTAAATTTTTGGATTAAATATAAATATAAAATAAAATATACTTTTTAATAAATATTACACTAAACAGGGTTAATGCTAAATTTATTTCCAAAGATATGTTTTAAAAAAAATAGAATGTTTGGAAACAAAAAGTAAAAGTGATTTTTTCAATAGTAGAGATACTACAAATGAAGAAAAAACACAGAACCCTAAGAAAAAAATCAGAGAGTTTTTATCACGAAGAATCAAAAATATAAATTCAAAAAACAATTTATCAATATTTATTTACTTTTTTATATAAACAAAAAATCTCAAATATTTGTTGAGATATTTTTATCCTAAATTCTTAATTATATTTATTTTATAAATTTATTTTTGTAAAAAAAAATTGAGATAATGTTAAAACTGTTTCCAAACAGAATTAAAAAAAAAATCTTTAGGAGTGTTTAAAAAAAAGTGCTTCGATTTAATAAAATAGATAAATCTTATACTAATAAAAGTTAAAGTTAAATTCCTCTCAGGGTGTCCACATAAGATTTTATAAGATAATTTTATTAGTCCACATCAACCTTTAAAATCTAAAAATTTAAAAATTCTAACATTATTGATAAATAAGAAATTTAAGAAAGTTTACAATTTTAATATTATTGCTAAATAAAGAAATTATGTGTAAATTTTTTATTGGTCCATTTCAACATTAAAAATTAAAAAAATATTAAATCTAAAGAAATTATATAAAAAATTTATAATAATAATAAAAACTAAAATAATGATATTAAAATAGGAAATTTTAAATTTAAATTAGATGTATACACACATATTTAGAGACTCTAATATTAGCATTTAATTTTTGTCACATAAATATAATAATTTTAAGTTTATTTTTCTGTGTGTGCAACTATTTCAAATATAAAAAAAAAAACAAAAAAATAGAGTTAGGTTTCACTAAAGAATGAGTCATTATAAAGTAAAAGAACCAACTTGAATAAAACTATATGTTTAACTATTAGCTAAATTTAAAAAAAATATAATGAAATGAGATATAAACAAAGCCACTACAAGCTGCTTTAATATTGAAAAAGAAAACGTAAAATCTCTAAAGCTTGGCCACCAAATTTGAGAAAAATGATAAATTCCAAGCAATTCGAGAAACATGTCAAGTGATTGATACTTGACACTAATGGGGTTTTGTCATAAAGAGGAAGGAGATTGATGTATCTGAAGAAGATTTTTGAAATAACATAGCATCTGATGGAGTTTTAACAACCTAACCCGAACCACAAATATAACAATTAGCTGACCAAGCAGCATCTAAATATATTCGGTAAGCCTCAAAACAAGGAGGATAGACCAACATCACTTGCCGCAACGGGCCTCATGTGGGATCTTCCAGCTTTGATTTCTAAGTCTATTACTAATAAAATTTAAAAATATGCTTCTAAGAATGTCCACATATGATTTAAAATTTTAATTTTATTGATCTACATCAATATTTAAAATTAAGAAAATTTTTAAATTTTAAAATTAAATTGTTAACAAAAAATACATTTATAAAAAAAATAAAATTTGAAGCTATATGCCTCTAAGGACAACCACAAAATATTAAAAGATCAATTTTATTAGTCCACATCAATAACTAAAATTTAAAAAGTTTCAAAATTATAAAATTACATTGTTAATACAAAACAATATAGGAAAATTGTTAACTTAAAATTATTCTATTATTAATAACTGTTAGAGCTAAAGCTAAATTATTTTCAAGGCATCCACATCAGCATTTAAAAATTCAATTGTGTTCATATATATCAAAATTGTAATTTAAAAAAATTCATAATTCTAATATTATGGTTAAGAAAATAAAATTAAAAATAAAGAAATTTCTATTAGCAACAAAAAAAACCAACATGATATTAAAATCTTCATTATCACTGTGTAAGTTACAAATATAATTTATTATCTATAAAAAATATATGCTACTTATACAAGTTTAATTTAATTGATTTTAAGGCTTTTCACATAAAATTTTAAATAACTAATAATTATGATTTATATTCATCTAATTGTTTTTTTCAAATATGAAAAACATATTTCCACATAATCTCATGTATTATATTATGTGAAAATGATCAAAAAATTTACATTTTGTATATTCGACTTGGAAATGCAA